CTGGGACTCTGTTTTCCTTTTACGTGCCTTGGCGAGGCAGCGTGAGAAAAACTGCGAGACAATTTGCCTCTGATTAAATTCTGCTAAAGCAGAGTCTGACTCAGATCAAGGGCCCTTGGAGAGAGCTCGCCTTGAAGCGAGTGAGTGAGGAAAGATCTGCGGAGAAGCTCTTTTATATTGCTTCGATCGAAGCTTGATCGCGAGAAAGCTCTTCACCGCCTGCGCAACCTAGCGGTGTATCCGCAAGCTCATAACTCGGAATAAGGCCTGCGGCGCGTAGCGCGGCCGCGGCGTATTATGCCGCGTCAGTGTAGCAATGTGGCGGTGAGCCGCCACAAAACATATTTAAGAAATTATATGATTAATCTGATTATCTGATTAATTTAATGTATAAATTACCTTCATCATTGTCAGCAACTAAATCATGATGTATTTCCTTTCTCTTTATTTTAAATATGTTAGTATGTGTCGACAATTTCTCTAATTCTTTCTCCTTGTGGATAGTAGTAATATTTTCTGTGTTTTCAAAAATATGTATTTAAAATTATAGAAACTGCTATATATATATATACAGGGTGAGGAAAAAGTACCGGGACACCTAAATAACTTCTGAACGGTTTGAGATATCGGATTGAAATTTACAAGGTTACAATGGTATCACACAATCTATCACATAACACCAAAAACGCCCATTTTGACACCCCCGGGTGGCGGGGAAGAGGGAGGGCAAGAAAATTTTAAATGGAATGTGGGGTCGAGTGAGGGTTCGTTTGAAAGAGCTTCTCGAGATGAGAACAACGCGATGTCGCCGAAGTCTCTACGATTTTTTTTCGCAGAGTTATGATCATTTAAACATTGAGATTTCGCAGTAGCGGAGGGCCCACGACGAATAGCCTGTTGTCAAACAGTTGACAGTGCACATTTTGAACAATTGATATAAACCTTCCTATACAGCCTTAGTTAATTACATCCTCGGTCTTGCACACACACACACACACACACACATACACACCCCCCCCACACACACACAGCAGAGGTGGTTTGGAGTCGTAAATTACTGCGCAAGCACGCACCCCACATGCCTTCCTACATGCAATTTTATCCACACGTGTCCGCGGAAAGTCTTTCTCACGTCTTCGTCGTGGGCCGTCCCGGAACTTTTGACACACGCTGTATATATATATATACAGAGTGTCAATTAAGTCCCGGGACGGCTGAATATTTTCTCATGTAAAGT